TTCTTAGAAATTTGTCTTACACATGTGTGATTGGTTTAATCATATTATTCAGCAATACGTATGGATATATATTTGATCCAGTGTTAAGTATAAATGCGTATGAAAATACCTCAATGGGCAAGGCATCAGCAGCCAATGCACGATCATCAACAGTTAGAGGATTTAAACCATCAGCAGTAGCAAGTTCATGAATTCCAGCCAAAACAGGCCGCCACCTCCTTAAGACAGCAACAAATGGGGGTACAATAGCCTCAAGGTATTTCTTACGAAGAGGCTTTTGGTCTTTGCCCACAGCATGATATACCTGACAACAAGTTGTACCATCATCATGGTTGTCTAGAAATTTTTTTTTTAAAAAAAAAAAAGGGCAAATGACACATGCTTCATAAAGTACGTAAAAATAATATGTTCAGCACTGAAAACACAAACCTCAGAATAAAGCACCGAACAGGCTACCAAAACTCTCTGTCTCTTAGAGTCAGAAATTGGCATGTTGAGAACAGGTGAAAGAACACTGTTTAAGAAAAGAGTAGATAATTCAATAAACCATCAATGTTTTCCTCATATTATGTCTTCAAAAAATTTGTTCAAATAATGATGAAAGAAAAAATTGCAAAACTGTAAAGTGTTAGTTAAATATTTATGCAGGTGTAATGAATAAAGGACACTAACAACAATGAAGTAATGGAAATTTAAATTTGCTGAAGATATGCGTGTGCGCACGCACGTGTAGATGCGCACAAAAAAATGCAGATATTTTAGGATATATTTGATATTGTTCATACAAAAGTAAAGCAACAGTGGGTGATGTTGTTGTTGGGGGAATTGGTTCAGTGTCAAAATGTCAGCATCTACGGAAATTGCAACCTCAATCACTCTTGTGGATGATATTCTCGTCATGAGATTATGGCTCTTGAAGAGTAAATAGGCTGGTTTAACAATTTTTCTGATCAATAATTTAAGATTATGTAATTAATAGAAATATTATGACATACTTATGAGCCTTTAAAGCCTTGTCTTGCATCCCTATAAATAAGAAGCCTTGTGTATGTCAATATTCAACTACTCCATTTCAAGCTTTTCCTTTTCCTCCATAATCATAATGGCAAGACACCATCAGGCCCAAGAGCCCTCTTTAGGTATTAAGGTGGCAACGACAAAGAGGGACATTATCATCGCTCAAAGAAAGTATACTCCAGGTTTACTAGCATCCGTGTGCAAAACCCAAACGCAAATCAAAAGTAAGCTTCATCTTAAGATGAAAGGCAATGCTAGGATATTAAAAGGTACCAAGGTTAATGGTTAAGTTGATTTACCTTTCTAATACACATCTCGACATCAGTTGCCAGAATCACTGGTAAAATTTATGAACAAGACAACAAAAGATGACTTAGGAGTTTATAGGATTTTAGGCTATTTGAAGATTTACCCTAGTAAAGGCACGTTCTGTGAAGAATAGGAAGGCTCCCTGACAAATAGAAGGTCCACTACATTTTATGTAGTAACCTAGCTACATGGAGGAGCACGAAGCATCACATTTTTATAAGGAGCCGTGTAGAAGCAAAAACTGAATTTTTAGCACTTGACTTGGGTGTTTTTGAAGGAATCTTGATTAAGAAGGTTCTCCAAGAGTTAGACACTTTCTTGGAGAAACCTATGAAGTTTATGCATGATAATATGCCCGCTATCAATATGGTGAAAAATACCATCCTCTATGAACAAAATGAAGAATTAGAGTTTCAAACTAGGTTCAAAGAATACTTACTTCCCCACTTGAGGAGTGATGATGAAGCATGTGCTTAACAATACATATTTTAACATCACCATGGAAGCTTCTCTTGACTACTTGGGAGTTTTGACCATATGCAGTTTTCATCTATTATTGGTTGTGTCCATACGGCATACTTAATATGCTGTACAAATTAGTTATGTTGAAATTTCTTGTTATGCAAAGCTGCTAAAGATGTGATCAAATGTTCATCATGTGTATTGTGTAGACAGCACACTGACATTGAATAGCTTGAACAATCTTGTGGTGCATATTTGTTTTAGATAGATGAAAAATCAACCTTATAGAAATTAGTTCTACGGGGACAAAATTGAGATATGACAATTAAGATTCTATTTCAAGAGTAAATCAAAATATTTCTAAGGAGGTCGTCCGTGAAGATGAAAAGGTGCATCTTAAGTATCGGCTAACCAGAGAGGCGGAAAAAGCATCCAATTGTGGCCATCCGTATGAAACTTCTCCAAGTCAACATTTATTCAGAGGCTATTCATTAATGGATAAACTATGGACTGGAAATAAGATAAACATCGAAAATTGTTTTACCTCCACAGTAGTGCAGAGCGGGGTTTCCTTCCTTGAGGCATCCCATCCTCAGTTGCATTCCTCATCAACATATGTTCCTCTCCATCATCATCTTCCCTCATCGATAGAAGAACCATTCGAAGCATGCACAGGAATGGTTGGTCACTGTCTAACAATTGGTACAATGCAGCCATCCCTCCCATTCCAGTACCTGACCCTCCACCAATACCAAGACCACCACCAAGCCCAGACTCATCCAACAATAATGCTTGAAGCATTGCCACAGATTTCCTTACCAAAGGAAGTTCAAGCCAGTTGCCATCAGCATCTTTCTCTAGAGCAGAGTTCCAACAATCCCATCCACTCCCACCGCCGCCAAATTGCACTGTCTTTGATGGGAGGCCAACACCATACCACAAACGGCTCCTATATTTCCAGCCATCAGCTATATCCTTAGTACAAGACCCATATGACACAAAAGCATAAGAAACAGATCCATATGGTTCAGCCGCAGCAGCTGCAGTAAGCCTTTCCATCAATGAAGAAGAGATCTGACCATTCGCATCAGCCATTGAAGAAAGGATCTGTCAAATGTAACAGCAAGGGTCACCAATATTAAAAATTAGCACACGTAAGACTAGAACAAAAAAGAAGGCTAAGAACAAATGCAGAATATATTTACAAGAAGGTGAGTTCAAACCATAAATAATCTTCTAAAGTCCAAAGCCTAAGTTCATAAACTAGAGAAGTTGAGGAAAAAATAAAATAAAAATAAAACAAATGCCCGGTGAACATGTATAAATATTTTCCCCAAAGAGGTGTTATTAAATAGGGGCTGCCATGCAAACATCGCAAGGATCTTGAAGGAATGACAAGCAGCACTGAAAATGCACAATTACAAAACTTCACAAACAACTTATTATGACACAACATGCACATCTAATTCAAGATTGCAGCATGCATACCTCTAAAGGGAGTCCTACAGAATCACTAGGTACAGATCTTCGATTTTCCACAGCTTCTGTTGATTCTCCAATTGTAGACAATGAGGCTGAGCTGTTATTGTACGGATACAACCCAGAAAGGGGTGATGGAGAAGTATCTACAACACGTGCAGAAGAGAATTGTTTGCTTTGTAACCGTAAGTGATCCTCAACAAGCATAAGTATCACAATAGCATTCTCTACTAAAGCAACAGAAAGCTGAGCAGCATTATCAGCCTCTGCCTTAGCATCTTCTGGGGACAACCCCTCAGCTGCCACACCGGCAGCAGCCGCAGCAATAATTTGAGTCTGTTGTAAGGAAAACTAAATGTAGACATCATTCCAGCTACTTCTCACTCTCTTCAAAGAAAAACATACATATGATATAGAGAACTGCACTCTTGCAAACATACTTTTGTTTTCTTAGTGTGCTTAGGCATAAGTGAAGGGATCTACAAGTCATTGGGTACACAGAATGAAAAGAAATGGAAAGTGAAATAAAAAGAAAAACAAAGTGCTTTTGTGGATGGCAAATGGGAATACAGCCCTAATTTACAAAATAATAAATTGTTTAGACATGTTGATAATAAGTTGTTACATTTATTCATGGTTGTATATAATACGGGAGATTTGATTATGTAATTATTCTATAATTATTAGCCATTATGATCTTATCTTAAAATATCACTATAACTACGAATTTCATGAGTCAATACTCGTTAACTACATTTCTCTCGTCCTCAGTCTCATACTCTCCATGTTCACCCTCCACACACTCTCCATACTCTTCATGGTATCACAGCCCCTAGTGATTGCGCATCATCCCAATTACTGGCCTCTCTCTTCACCCTAACTTCTCTTCATCTATGCATTTTTCTTCTTGCCTCAAGCACTTCCTTTCCTAGCCCCATTTGCTACATTCAGCCACTATGTCCTACTTTTCTTGGAACACACACCCAACCATGCAACCACCATCCCTAGAAGGCATCAATGTTTACCATTGCCATCTGGAGCTCCAGCCACATCCACAGATGCCACTGGTAGATTCTATCCATTTGTCCACGAACCAACAAATGACAGTGCATGGGTCACCCATTTCAAGCCCTGTCTGTCCAACCTTTCTAGGAAACATTTGATCTACAAGACCCAACCCCTCAATCTTTGTGTTTGGCTATTGATCATGGTGTTTGGTGACTTTTGTTACTGGTCAGGCCCTTCTTTCAGTGTTCAGATGCGGTTATGACCATATATCATGACGTTCAGTCTCTATTTATTACTTACCAGACTATTTTTTGTCATTTAGGTGATCACTCTATTTGTGGAGTTTCTTATCAAGAGTTTGGATTGGGTGGTTTAAAAGAATAGTCCAATAGTTTGGATCAGGATTAACTAAAAGTGAAGCTGACCATTCCTTTTGCCACATGAATCAGGATGCTAATCTGTGTCTATTTGAAGTCTGCACAGATGATTGTTTAACACAGGCAATGATCAAGAAGGAATTTCTTGACTAAAATCACAACTACATGATCATTTTCTGTAAGCAAGTGAGGCTGAAGAAAATCAGATGTTTTGTTAATATATACAGCCTAGGGAGCATATTTGGCCAACATAATAGGAATTTACAAGCATTTATATAATCTGCGAAATAAAATGGAATATCTACAGCATCCTAAAGTATTAACTATTTACAAATAAAGGTGTCGGAAATGGGCCCTAGGGAGAGGCCCAATCATCCTATTAAACCAAGAATCATTACAGCTATGTATACTGATTTACTAACCGTTAAAGACCTGATCCTTAGGCGCTAAATTAGGGATTACAGAATATATTTATTTCCTGTTTTGCTTCCTTATTAAATCTGGAGGATTTCATGCGATATGCTGAATCACTCCTCTCCCTATATGTATCGCACAAATCTGTGGAATAAAATACAGCTTTTCTGCACACAAACTCTCATGGTATCAGAGCGCTACCACTCATGTCTTTCAAAGAAGCTCTGACACGAAATTCCAGAGCTTTTACAGCTGAGGGTGAGTCCACCTCAGTGACAACTGCACCCCAGAATATGACCGAGTCAGAAGAGATGCGGTCAACTAGTTCAGGCGCACCAAATGGATCTGGACCAGATTCCTTGTCCCAACTGATTATATCCCACCGCCTCAATGGCAACAACTACCTCCAGTGGTCCAGAAATATTCTCATGTTTGTGCGTGGAAGAAACAAGGAAAAATACCTTACTTGGAACCCTCAGCCACCAAAAACCGAGGACCCACAGTATGAAACATGGTGTGCAGAAAACAACACCGTAATGACATGGCTTGTTCATTCCATGCTTCCTGAAATTAGCGAAAACTACCTACTTGCTAGTTCCGCACGAGAAATATGGGAATCAGCAAGGCGGACATACTCTGTTAAGGAAAATACAGCAGCTATTTTCCAACTCAAACGCATGCTACGCAGCCTCACTCAAGGGGAGAAGTCTGTCACCCAGTACTACAGTGCCCTGGTGCGACTGTGGCTGCAAATAGATCTCTATGAAGTACACAAATGGTCCTGCCATACAGATGAAGTCTACTTCAAACAGGTAATAGACCGAGACCGATGTTATGATTTTCTTCTTGGCCTTAACGATTCTTTTGAAGATATCAGGGGAAGAATAATGAGCATTAAGCCCCTTCCATCACTGGAAGATGCCTTCAATATGATTAAGAATGAAGAGAGCCGGAAAGCACTGGTTCAAAATCCATCTTTGGTTTCCCCATCAACCATAACTGAAGGCTCGGCCATGGTGACTAGAAGCAACCAAGGTGGAGACACAAGGGGAAAGAAGTCCCTAAGGTGTGACCATTGCAACAAAAATGGCCACACCCGTGACACATGCTGGAAGATCCATGGCAAGCCAGCCAATTGGAAGCCACGGCCTAAGGGAGAAGGTAAAGGACTTCTAACTAGTAACACCCCCAATGAAAGTGAAATCCTAAAGCATGAGGAGCTTGCAATACTGAGGAAAATCCTTGACAAATACTCCCATGAAAAGCTAAGTGAGGATACCCCAACTGTTTCCTTGGCTCATACAGGTACAGAACTTCTAACTGCACTTAGAACAGTCACTAATTCAAAAAATATCTGGGTGGTCGATTCTGGAGCTACTAATCATGTTTCTGGATTTAAAGAACTATTTTCTGTGTTTAGTTCATATTCACAGCATTCCCGTGTGCAGGTAGCAAACAATGAATATGCAAAGGTTATGGGATCTGGCACTGTAATTCTATCTACTGATATCATTCTTCATGATGTACTTTATGTGCCTGATATACACTGCAACCTACTGTCAGTACAGTGCATAGCTGATAAATTAAACTGCCTAGTTGGTTTTAATAAATCTCATTGTGTCTTTCAGGATTTAGTCTTGGGCAAGCTGATTGGCAAAGCTAAAGAATGTAATGGGCTGTACTACCTTGAAGGGAACCTGAAAAATAAAAGCCCCCTAGCTACTGCTACTTCTGCTATTCATGTGACTCCAAACAATGCTGCTGTGTCCCGTGATGAAATAATGTTATGGCATTACCGTTTAGGCCATCCTAACTTTGATTATATGAAAATCCTGTTTCCCAATTTCATGAATAAAATATCTCCTTCTCAAATTCAGTGTGACACCTGTCACTTTGCTAAACAGACACGAAATTCCTATCCAGCGAACCCCTATACTCCTACTACTCCCTTTACACTCATTCATAGTGATGTTTGGGGACCCTCTAGAATCGAAACTAACTCCAAGGCCAAGTGGTTTGTTACCTTCATAGATGACCATACACGCCTCACATGGCTCTTTTTAATGAAAGACAAATCAAAGTTTTTCCACTGTTTAAGCACTTTCACGCCTTTATTCAAACTCAATTTAATGTTTCTATAAAAGTTTTTCGAAGTGATAATGGAAAGGAGTATGTGAATACAAAATTTAAAGATTTTCTTATTGAAAAAGGGATTCATCATCAAACTTCTTGCACATACACACCACAGCAAAATGGGATAGCTGAGCGGAAGAATAGGCACCTCTTAGAAGTTGCTCGCTCACTTTTAATTGGGAGTAATGCTCCCAATATTTATTGGGGTGATGCAGTTCTCACTGCCACCTATTTAATCAATCGGCTGCCCTCCAAAGTACTAAAGTTTCAAACCCCAATTGATAAATTTTTAGAAACCTATCCCAATTCCTACCTCCTCAACCATCTCCCTAAAAGAGTTTTTGGTTGCACAGCTTTTGTGTTCAATGAAGATGGTGGCAAATTAGATACTCGAGCTCTTAAATGTATTTTTCTAGGTTACTCTTCCTCCCAAAAAGGTTACAAGTGCTATTCTCCTACCACTAGACGTGTCTATGTCACCATGAATGTTCAATTTATGGAATCACAACCCTTTTACCCCAAATTACCCATTCAGGGGGAGAGAGCTAATGAATGGCTAACTTGTCCTGATAGTAACTATACTAGTGACACACAACCTGAACAGCAAAGAAATCAAAACAGTAATGGTACCCTAGCATCACCAGCAGCCCCTATAGAGACACCTATTTTTGAACCTGACCTTATTACACCGTCCAGTGACCCTGCAACAACTGTCACAACACCAGAAAAAACACCACACACCCTTGACATGGCACCCAACAAACCTGAAACAATTCTAGAAGTGCCCAATAACACTGAACCTATACCTGAAGCCCCCCAAGAGACAAACCAGCAGTCACATACCACAGAGACAGAGGTGAACACAACAGAACAGCCAACAACCAGAGAAGAACCCATTAACATTCCAAGGCAGAGTCATGAATCTTATCCTGAGATTAATCCTGAAGATCTACAGTGGCCCATTGCTTTGAGAAAAGGCAAAAGGAGTTGCACTAGACACCCTATTGGGAGGTATGTCTCCTATGATAAGCTTAACTCTCAATTTAAAGCGTTTGTGGTTAATCTTGATAATGAGGAAATCCCAAAGTCTTTTAATGAGGCTAGTTCAAACCCTAACTGGAAAGCAGCTATTAATGATGAATTAAAGGCTCTAGTCAAGAACCAAACATGGGAAATAGTTAATTTACCCCCTGGGAAATCTGTTGTTGGGAGTAAATGGGTTTTTACAAAGAAGTTTAATCCTGATGGTAGCATCAACAAGTATAAGGCAAGATTAGTTGCAAAAGGGTTTACTCAAACCTATGGCATAGACTACCAAGAGACTTTTGCTCCGGTAGCCAAATTTAATACTATAAATATTCTTCTCTCTTTGGCTGCCAATTTGGACTGGCCCTTACATCAATTAGACATTAAAAATGCCTTTTTAAATGGAGACTTAGAGGAGGTATACATGCAAATACCCCTAGGATTAGAAGGTCCTGGAACCCGTGGAAAGGTATGTAAACTACATAAATCTTTATATGGGTTAAAACAATCACCAAGGGCTTGGTTTGAAAAATTCACAAGGGCTGTTAAGGAGTTTGGTTATAGGCAATGTCAAACTGACCACACTTTGTTTGTGAAACGCTCTAATTATAAGATCACTGTCCTAATTGTCTATGTAGATGATATAGTTTTGACAGGAAATGACCCTGAAGAGATTGCAGCGTTGAAGCAGAAATTGGCAGCAAAATTTGAAGTAAAAGATTTGGGAAATCTAAGATACTTCCTCGGGTTAGAGGTAGCTAGATCTCCAAAAGGCATTTGTGTGACTCAGAGGAAGTACACCTTGGATCTATTGAAAGAAACAGGCATGGTGGGAGCCAGACCTGCTGCGACCCCTATGGAGCTCAATTGTAACTTGGAAGTCAAACCTGATGGAAAATCAGTTAACAAGGAACAGTACCAGCGACTAGTGGGGAAGCTAATTTACTTGTCTCACACCAGGCCAGACATTTCATTTGCAGTAGGGGTAGTAAGTCAGTTTGCAAGCAACCCCCAAAAGGAACACATGGAAGCAGTACAAAGAATTCTCAGGTACCTTAAAACTACTCCAGGTAAAGGTCTGTATTTTGCTAAAAGTGGACAGAAAAATGTAGAAATCTATACAGATGGTACAAAAAGAAACTCCAGCATAGAGGGAGACAAAGATATAGAAGTCTACACGGATGCTGATTGGGCAGGAGCTATCTATGACCGACGTTCTACTACTGGATACTGTACATTTGTGTGGGGAAATCTTGTGACTTGGAGGAGCAAGAAGCAACCAGTTGTATCAAGAAGCTCAGCTGAATCTGAATATAGAGCTCTGGCTCTTGGCATTTGTGAAGGGATATGGGTAGTACACGTGCTAAGGGAACTTGGTATAGAAATAAATGCACCAATTAAAATGTGGTGTGATAATATGGCTGCACTCAAGATTGCAAACAATCCTGTCCAACATGACCGAACAAAACATGTTGAAATTGATCGTCATTTCATCAAGGAAAAGATTGAAGCTAAAGTGATCGACCTAACCTACATTCCCTCTGGAAGACAGATTGCGGATGTGATGACCAAACCATTGATCAAGAACAAGTTTGACGAGTTGACTAGCAAGCTGGGAATGATTAACATCTATTCTCCAGCTTGAGGGGGAGTGTCGGAAATGGGCCCTAGGGAGAGGCCCAATCATCCTATTAAACCAAGAATCATTACAGCTATGTATACTGATTTACTAACTGTTAAAGACCTGATCCTTAGGCGCTAAATTAGGGATTACAGAATATATTTATTTCCTGTTTTGCTTCCTTATTAAATCTGGAGGATTTCATGCAATATGCTGAATCACTCCTCTCCCTATATGTATCGCACAAATCTGTGGAATAAAATACAGCTTTTCTGCACACGAACTCTCAAAAGGCAATTAATTTCTAATAATCTTTGTCTCACCCTCTCCATATTCCCTATCTCCATACTCTCGTCAAGGCAATTATGAATAATTATAACATGGGCAGAATAGGCATCATATATCTCGTTTGTTAGTGCAATAGAATCAAACTCTGACTCCGTCTTTACACTAAACAGGCCATTAGTTTCCTAGGTATTAACTACAGCATCCTAAAGCATTAACTACTTACAAAGAAAGGCAATTAATTTCTAATAATCTTCGTCTCACCCTCTCCATATTCTCTATCTCTATACTCTCTTCAAGGCAATTATGAATAATTATAACATGGGCAGAATAGGCATCATATATCTTGTTTCCTAGTGCAATAGAATCATACTCTGATTCCCTCTTTACACTGAACAGGCCATTAGCTTCCTAGGTCCAGTGTGTGTGGACGTGGGGGAACCAGAATAGCAGAAATGACTGGAAAAAAAATTCTCTTGCAAAAGTATATATATACATACAAGAAAATCCTTACCTGAAGCCGCAATTCCCGAGCAGCAAAGTCCAACAAGCCACCTAAGAGCCTCCTCTTAAATATAGGCAATGATTCCTCACGTCTTCAAACCAAAAAGGAACAAACATATGATGACATATACAGGATATAGTAAATTGTACATGCAAACTATTTTATCAACAGAAGCGAATAATGCACTACTATGAGAAGAGGTAGAAAAGCTCTTCCTCAATTGACTCTAGAATGTCATATTTATCATCATTTATACCACCAAATTTTTGTCACAACCAGTCTTGGCATGATTTTCTCCTTTAAATTCCATCAATTAAAATGAAGCATAGACAGCTACCATTTTTTCAACTTCATAATTAAGCATGCATTTTGTGCACTCTAGTTCTTACCAATGACCAAGGCCTGACTCAAATTCAAGGGAGTTGTAACATAGAAAGGCCCGGCATATGTTTTTCTCAGTTCTATCAACTACCCCCTTTTAGAAACCATTAGTGACCCGCTTGGCATGCAGAAATTGGAAATGGAAATGGAAATGGAATTGAATTCCAAACTGACTGTTTGGTATGATGAAATTGGAAAATTCTGCAATTTCAGCTCCACCAAAATAGGTCGAATTGGCTTCCATCAAGCAACCCATGGAAGCCAATTCCATCTCCATGCAGTCCATTTTTACCCTTCCCTCAACCTTCAAGCTTCACACTGCCAACCTTCAAGCTTCACACTGCCAACCTTCAAGTTTCACATCATCTCACCTCACTGCAGATGATGTGGCCTCCTTAGAGTCTGTTTTTCCCTTCAACTGTGAAGTCTACAAGCACCACCATTCCTCCTCTTTGCTTTCCATCATCATTCTCCTCTTAACCAAATGTGAAGCAACAACGTTGGCGACAATTTCTGGATCTTCATTCAACAGTGATGACATTATTCTTTCAAATCTGAGTTTACAGGTGGAAATTTCTTTCCAATTACCATCTTCTTCCTCCAGCAACGTTGACTGTCACAATGGCGATTTTTGCATCTAAGAACCATGATTTTTGCTTGTGCTTCATGATTTTCACTTTGAAATCTAGCTTTCTTTTTTCTGGCAGTCATTGATGGTGATTTCTGGTTTATTTCTGGATGGTAATTTTTGGGTGCCTTGTACTGTTGCTTTGATTCTTTTTCCCCCTCAGTTTCCATGACATTTGGTTCTTAGCGGATGATTTTAGTTTTGAGGGGCAGCCAATGGTAGCTGTCGACGGTGATGAAGAATGGTTGGATGGAGGAGGTTTTTTTCCCCCAATTTCAAAGGGCATTTTAGTA